CGTGAAGTCTGTGTCCAAAGCGTTGAGTTCTTCCCTCAGAATCTGTTGTTTGTCTTTGTTTTGAGACAAATAATAGACGACATGAGAGAGCGAAGCGCTGGTCGTGTCGTAACCGGCGATGAAAAACAGTATTCCCTGAGCCGTCAACTCCTCGGCGGTCAGCATATGATCACCGGTTGAGTGGCTATTGTTGTAATTAATGTTTGCATTGCTGTCCACTTTGTTATCAATCATTAATTGTATAAAATCTGTTACTTTCTTATCTGTGGTAATAAATAACATTAATAAATTTGTTTTTAATATAAGGCTGTTCAATATTAATTGATCGAGTTTCTTTTGCGATTCCTCTGGAACTGTTGAAGTGACAATAGTGAAACTTCACATATATATAGAATCTAGTTGATGTCATGAAATCTTCTTAAAACTATTGTCGGATAACTAATTGTGAATCTCAATATCCAAATAATCACTTTAAACGTGTGTTTTGAAAAAATATTTTAACTTTAAAAATGTAATAATTTTTCACCAAATATTTTTGCACAAAATTGTAAAAATAATCCCAACTGACACATTTTAAAAATTTCTAGTATAAAGACTAATCAACCAATCTTAATGAAACTTTGTTTCTGGTGCCTAAGAATGTTAACTTAAATTATGATATTATTTTCATAATTTTATCTACACTGGAAGACAGTTAGGCCTGAACATATCCAAATGACCCAATAATTATTTATTATAATTGTAACTTTTGTAATAATAATTCATTATATTTAAAGGTATTTATATTTACATTTTTAGAATATTCTTTAGATTTTCAATTAATTAAATGACATAATCTTTTTATTATAATTGTATAACTAACAAGCAGTTTGTATTAATTCACTTATTTCTCTCAACAATATTAATAATTTAATAAACTCTAAATCTTAAAAAAAATTGAAAACAAATTTATATACAGTATATTTTTATTTCTAAATCGGATTTATTTTACCCCTCAAACAGTATTGATATTTATATAATTAATTATATATAATACTAATACTATGTTAGTATTATGTAATTCAAAACTACAGAATTTTGTCACAAAATTATTATATCCCTGAAATAGTTATCATTAAAATGACAGAATTAATACCATAGGCGTTAACGCAGGTGAGGGCCATCAGACATGAGGGACATCTTAAAGGTTATTCATGTATTCGGGATATTAAATGTATTATCAATAAAGGTAAGAATTACAACACATTATATTATTATTGAGCAATTTCTTATCTTTGTCAAATATCTTTAGTTATTTTATATTAATGTTTAAAAATTTTCTAAAACACATTATTATTATAAATAACATATTTAACATTAAAAATAGATTTAACATCATTTATTGAATTTAAAATAATTTCATTTTAAACAGTCTTAAAATTTGCATTAAAAGTTTACATAATTTAATGAAAACTATAAATATAATGTTTTAATTGTTTTTCACATTCTTGTGTCTCACTATTCAATGGATTATTTAGTATTACTTTTAGGAGATTTTGCACTCTCTTTGCTGCTTTCAAAAGGCATTTTGATTAATTTTTTTCTGTCTTTTTCTTTACTCTTATCCAAACTCTTATCAGAACTTTTAGACAAATTTTCATCACTCAAGCGGTCACTAGTGATGTCACTACTCTTTTGGACAACACTTTTCTTTTTATCCGATACTTTCTCTTCCAAATCATTTGATTTTGACTTTGATTTAACGACAAAATCTTCATTTTGTGGCAATTCTGGCGATTGTGCCGATTGTGGCGATTGTGGCGATTGTGGTAATTGAAAGCACGCAAACTTTTTCCTTCCGATCACTTTGTCTTTGGTGTAAACCATGAAATCTTCGCCTATCCTTCGGTTAGCGCTCGACTCAAGCATTGGATTTACAGCCAAACGCTTGGGGTTTGTCCACAAGTATTGATAGTCTTCTCCGGAATGGAGTTTATATATCTTTCCGTCGATTTCTGCCAAATCGCGGGACAAATACTTTGGTTTTGTTTTGTGCGCCAAATATGTGTATTGTTTGTCCGAAAATATTGGCGGATATAGAGGTCTGGGAAATGGTTTAACGGTGAAGTCGGCTCGATCTAGCTCCATCTCTTTAAATGAATGCCCTCTGCTTTCTCTGTCGGCGTATTTATATTTATAATTCATTTGCCAATTGCTGTGATTCACACCAATTCCTGAGATCTTCTTTTGCCAATAGAAGGGATTATTGCCTCCAATGTTGGGAACAGTGAAACAAAAGCTCGGATTCTGTATAACGTGTTTACTGGCGAACAACACCTTCTCATACAAGCGCTCGTATCGGTGTCTCCAATAGATCTCTACGAGACCCCAATCCCAGGGCTGAATGTCCACAATTCTGCATCTCTCCGGTGCCACCAGAGAAGAGATGACTTGACTGCCGCGCTGTTGGCTAACAGTCAAACGCCAACAAACTTGATTGAATTCCGACTCATTGCCGCCCAAGAAGATCACTTGTTCAAGGATTTGGTCTAACTTTCGTTGAGTAAACCAATTCTGATACAATCCTTTAACCGGAAGAATGAATGGTTTGTTTTTTGCTAATTCATTCCATAGGCAGCCAATGTATGCTTCTTTGTCTGGTTTTGTCGCGTGCTTTTTCTTAACCGACACTTCAAGCGCCAACTCTCCCGACACCACAACCAGTCCTCCCGACTGTATTAGTGATCGACTGTAACGCTTGGAATCAAAGCGCTTGTCTTCTACGATCAGTTTAGCGCCCGAACAGACATATAGGATGTAGTGATGCTCTCCCGACGCAAACACATCCCTCTGGCCTTCGATTCCCTTTTTGATCACTTTTGGATCCAAGAAGTCTTCGGTCACATCAAACACACCGTTACTCGGGTTCTGGTCATCGATTAGTCGATCGAAACTTCTGTGGCCTCCGCTCTCTTTCGATGAAAATCTCAATCCAAGACACAATCGATTGCCAGCCTTTGGGTTCAGATAACAGGGATAAACACTATTGATTGGTCTCGTGTCGGGTACGACATAGAAGTTGTTCACATTGACAGCGGTTTGTGTGTAATAAATATGGCCGTTGTTTGCCATACAGAGATGAGCTCCGCATTGCTTTTTGATGGACAGGAATTGTTTTTCAAAATCTGTCGGTTTATTCTCATCGAAGCGTTCATTGATATACAGAATGGAGGGAATCCTCACTCGACTTATGTTCCCGTTTGTCATGTAATCGCATTCAGACGTATCGATGTCCTGGCCTTTCATTACGGCGAAGATCACGTGAATCGCCTTTTTTGACAACTCGTCCTCACATTGTCTTCGCTGAACAAAGAAATCATTTTTTTCGCTGCTTTTTGACATTTTTTATGCTTTTACTCTTTGAGATAATTATTTACAAAAATGATTGATTTCTAACTAAACGCCTAATTTTTGAATTTAATAACAATTAAACTTCACGTTATTATATAACGTAATGCATAACCGATTTAGAGTATATGTTAGAAAAATAACAACAATATAACTATATTTATCACATTTTACCAAACATTTTTAGAAAAAATTTAATGCTTAAGAATTTAACAAACTTTACACCAATTATTTAAATAATATTGTAGAGAAAAACACACCAGAAATTTAATTATATAATTATAATGCAATTCATTTCTGTTGTGCTATACTTTCCAGAAGTTTTGGTAGTTTTAAGATATTTTGTTCGTTTTGTATCCGTTGTGAGGCTTTAATGAGCTTTTGTTTTAATAACTGATCGTTTAGTAGGGAATCAATTGATTGCAATAAATCAGTTTCACTGCATTTGTATGGATCTAATTGTAAACCAAAACCCTTTTCAACAATTCTCTGCGAGTTATCGAATTGATCGAAGAATAGGGGCATTACTAGAAAGGGTTTCCCGAAATACATGGTTTCGGTTAGAGTGTTGTTCCCGCCGTGGGTTATGATTAGGTCAACGATCGACAAGATTTTGATTTGCGGCAAATATTTCTCGCCCCACATATTGGCCGCCAATTCGTACTCTTCGTGAAAGACACCCTTCGATACAATGAACCGGTGCTTAGATTTGGCCAAAATGGAGACCAATCTCTTCATCAGTTGTATGTCTCCGCTTCCCATCGAACCCATTGACAGGTAGACCAACTTTCCCGGCTTTTGCCGAAGACTTTCTGGCACTTCAAACGTCTCCTCACTTGCCGTTCGCTTGAAGTGATCGAAGCGGTGATAATTGTCCGGCAATTGTCTAATATCTGTGTAATCGAGTTCTTCGGGAAATATGTAAATGTTTAGAAAAGGCGAACAACGAATCGTTTTGTATTGAGGCAGTGATGGTATGCCTTTAGATACGAGCCATGAGTTATATTCAGTCCAACCATCGCTCATGGATTTATCCAACAATTGTCTTATGCGAGACCACTCTTTCGGGTCACCATTTGTGGGCAAACCTATAATTTTTTATATACAAATAGTTTAATATATACTGTAATTATAAAGTTATAAAACGCATACCTAAGCCCTGAGGCGGCAGTTTTGGTTCATCGATACCGCATTGAAATGACAACGGATTGCATGACATAATCAAAACCCATGGTATGGACGAACACATTAACGATGGGATAACAAGGATGTGATCCGTGAGAATTACATCGGGTTTTACTCTCTCGACAATCTCTTGGAGAAAAGGCTCGTTATCTTTGACTTCTTGGACCTCATCTTTTAAGAGTATTTTGCAAATATCTATCATTTTGTCGAGTCTTGTCTGCGAACCGAATATGTCTTTGATTTCTTCGACCTTCTGTTTGGCGGACCCATCACTGGCTGTGCCATCGGATGAGCC